TATTTCACACACATCACACACATTTCTGTGACAATGTATGTGATTTGTGAGAATATATATGATTTGTGTAATGCAGGTGCGGCCAGAACCCTCCAACATTGGCCCAAATGAAGCAGACATAAACGAAGGTCGGTGTGATGATTTGTTTTATTAGCCGCCTTTCACTTCCTAACCTAACGTGTTTCAAAATGTGGCGACATCATTATGAAAACGGATCCTCCTAATAACTATACTGTATTTTCAGTATGACCCTGATGGTCGCTACATTGTGATGGATATAGCGAAGCCGAAAGGAGAACGTGCCACTGACCTTGGCACCATGGCCTACTACGTGGAGAAAGATGTAAGTTTCTGAAAGTCTCTGATACAGTTGAGTTGATCTGAAGGGACCCTCACCCACTTTCTCTTCTCTTGCAGCTGAAGGTCTCCCCTCTGTTCCAGGACCAGAGCAAGGTCCAGCTAAGCGGGGGCAGCCAGAACCTGGACCTGGATAAGATTGTGGTGTACTACGTAGATGAGGAGCGTCCAACTATCACCATGAGGAACCCTTCTGATGAAAACTAAAAAATAGTCTGAGTTACTGAAGCGCCTGGCCCACTCTGTACTCCGACTACGCATCCAAACAAATCCCTCTATAGAAATGCAGTTAATGCTCTGCAATCACTATCACTGTTAGCTGTGCTTTCTTTTATCAGCTTCATTTGTCTTGCTGTTATTTTGCAGTGATATTGTCAGCTTACATTGCACAATAAACTTTAAAAAACTGATCCATAAATCTATGACTTTGCTGCTGTGTGGCGTCAACCTTCTTCTTCTGCGCATGCAGGTTGCGTTGTGGATGGAGGCAGTGGGAGGTGTAAATGTCCACCAGAGAGGGTAGAGGACATCCAACGGCCCTCTGGAACCCCATCCTGTCTGTAGCAGTGCAGCTGCTGTAGACGGGATGAGTTTGTCCATAATGTGATGCAGTTTGTCAGCAGGCTCTGCATGGACGAGCGGTAGAAGCTTGGAGTTTAGTTTGCGATGCTGTCAGTCCAGGAGAGGTCGGCAGAGATGAGGACACCAAGAAACCTGGAGGTGTGGACCCTCTCCACACTCTTGCCGTTGATGTAGAGAGGAGCTGGGTCGGTGCCGAGCTTCCTGAAGTCCACAATGAGCTCTTTGATTTTCTTGGTGTTCAGAGAGAGGTTGTTCTCGGAACACCAGGCTGCCAGCTTCAGGACTTCCTCTCTGTAGGCTGCCTCATCACCCTGTCCGACCACTGTGGTGTCCTCAGCAAGCTTCACGATGCGGTTGTTGTTGTGGGCTGGGCTGTAGTCTTGGGTGTATAGGCAATACAGGAGGGGGTTCAGCGCACAGCCCTGTGAGTAGAGGACAGAAGAGGCCCAAGTCTCACAGTCTGAGGTCGGTTGGTGAGGAAGTCCTTTATCCACACATGTGACAGGAGGAACGCTGAGAGTGACCAGTTTTCAGATGAGTCTGTCTGGGGTTACTGTGTTGAAGGCCGAACTGTAATCAACCAAAAGCGTCTGGATGTAACTCTGCTGCTGCTCCAGGTGGTTCACCGCTGAGTGGAGAGCTAAGGCAACGGCGCCCTCTGTGGATCTGTTAGCATGTCATGCAAACAGATCCACAGTCTCGGGCATATGATCTATTCTCTCAAAGCATTTCATGATTACAGGAGTCAGAAGGTAATCATTCAGACTGATGATGGGAGACTTCTTCAGCACAGGGATTATTGTAGTTGACTTTAGGGTGGGTGGGATGACTGCCTGAGCCAGGGAGAGGTTAAAGGTCCTGGTAAAGATGGGTGCAAGCTGGTAGGCCCACACTCTGAGCACCTTGCCAGGTACTTAGTCTGGGCTGGCAGTTTTCTTCAGGCTTGCTGCCAGAAGCATCTGTCTGACATCATGCTCCTGTACAATGAGTGGAGTGGTGTGGGAACCAGGTGGGGAGGGGGGAGGCCTGGAGCAGAGGAGTGGTGCTGATAGGTTTCAAAGAAGCAGTTTAGCTCCTCTGCCATCAGCGCACTCAGGTCGCCTGGTGATGCATCACAGCCTCTAATTGTGATGTCTTGTATGCCCCGCCACGCCTCCGTGTGTTGCTGCTGGACAAATGGGACTCTATGCACACCGTGTGGTCCGCCTTGGCTCCTTTTGGGTCGGCTTGAGCAATTGTGTGGAGAGCTGTGCCACCTGACCTGAAAGTAGGGGCTCTGAGGAGTGTGCAGACCTGACTGGTCATCCAGGGATGCTTTTGTATTTTTATGGGATAATGTGACGTCTCCATGCAAGTTTGATCTCATAGTTTAAAATCTGTGATGAGGATTTAAAACACTTTATATGCTTATAGCTACAAACACAAGATTGAGTAATTTTGGTTGTAAAATGTGTCATCAGTAATGGGTTCTCAGTCTCTCGTAAAATTATTGTGTCACTCACATACTTGCAGTCATGCAGGAACTCAGATATAACATTTTAAACAGGCACTGACTCACCAAAGAAAGATTAAAGTTACAGTTGAAGCAATGCATGCAGACACAATAAACCACAGTGTGAAATGCTTTCTTTCAACATTTTTGTGATGCTATGAGGAAGTTGCATTCCGTCCCTGAGAGGAACATTTAGTACGCTCAACGACAATAACAGATTTTAGGATTTGTGTTCTTGGGAAGCAATGCCTGAACAAAACCTGGAATACTGCTGCGGAAGAAGCTGGTGCATGTGGCAGCTTGTTTGTTTTTTTACCCTGTTAAACATCTACTCCCCCTGAAAGCAAGTAACACACAAACGTTGTGCAACAACTTGATCATAAACTGGCAGCAATGCTGGGACACTGACTGGCTTCCCTGGCAAAGATGAGCAAGAAGCTTCAAAATTAAAAAGTTATTAATCACAGTCACATTATATCACACTGGAAACTTTTTAAAAGTCTTTTGTTAGTATTCTATGCTTTATAATTCCTTGAGATTTAAGGAGGGAGAGACACAAAGGCTAATTACCGTAATCTCTGAATTTTCAGGAAAGACGAGAGGGCAAGCCATCTGAGTAATGCAGATGTAGGTCGATCTCAGAGTCAGGAAACATTTTTCACTTGTCTGAACTTGCATATCGTAGGCCGTTGAACAGAGGAATGGGATCAAACAACGTTGGAGATGAGCTGGAGTTGGTTTGGTGAACAGGATGTTAAGAGTGGAAAAAAATCTCTCCACAGTTCACCAGTAGAGGACTCTAGTATTAGATTCACCTGCATGCCTTCTGGTTGTTTGAAAGGCATGGAAAGTGATTTTTATGACCTCTCTTTAAATTTTTTTTTTTTTCAAAATTTTTCTTGTTTTGTCTCGTTTCCTTTTTCCATCACGGCTTCTTCTTTCTCCATTTTTTCCACTTTTTTCTTTTTCCCGTCACATCATTACTTTTCCTTTCATTTCTCTCCCATTTATTTCCACTTTCCTCTTTCACAACATCATAATCTGTAAAATACAACACTGCATTTTTTTTAAAATATGATGGCCTCCACCAGAAGACTAAAACTCCCTCCTTAATCGGCCAATCAACAGGATAGCCATCTAATATTTAGGAAGAAATCAACACAAAAACGCTTCACAAGACAAAAATCAATCCGTTTTCAAGGACGTTTCAGTCCTCAGATCTAAATTATCCAGAAACTCTGAGGTGAGCTAAAGCAAAAACAGAAATAGTGTCTCATTCCTTGGTGTTTTGGTTTTAAAATCGTGAATCAAGCCCTCAGGGACTAAGAGATTAGAGACTAGAGATTAAACCCAACACCACCAAACTCCTACGAACATTTGCCAAGAAACACTGAACTATCTTTGGACCTAAAAAGTACCGATCTGGAGTGAGCACGCAGCTGTAGTTACTACAGCTAGAAACCAGAAATCAGGCCTGAAATCTGGCTGTGGTGACGGACTCAGACATGAACCTTCAGAGTCACATAAAAACAGTTACAAAGTCAGTCTTCTATCAACAACTTTTCAAGGATCAAAGAAATGTCTCCACAAGATCTAGAAAAACCCATCTATGCTTTTATCTTTAGTTGAACTGATTACTGCAACATTCACATAAAAAAAATAATCCTCCAGCTGCAGCCGGTCCAGAACGCTGCTGCTGGCGTTCTGACTAAAACTAGGAAGATGGAGCTCATCACTCAGACCTACAGTCACTACACTGAGAGAACAGACTTTAAAATACTGCTGTTAGTTATAAATCACTGAACGGCGTAGCCCCAAAATACATCAAAGACCTGCTGTTGTCATAGCAACCTTCCAGACCTCTCAGGGCTTCTGGTTCTGCTTTGAACCAGAACCAGAACCAAACACAGAGAAGCAGCATTCAGCTTCTACGCACCCAAATCTGGAACAAACTGCAAAGCAGCGGAAACACCGAGTTCCTTTAAATCTAGACTAAACCAAACCTGTTTAGAGTTACTTTTGATTAGTAACAACTCCAAACTTGCTGATTTGATGATGGTATTTGATCAAATGTAATGTTTGATGTTTGTTTTACAGTTGGTTACTGTTATGTAAAGCACTTCCTGCTGGAACCTCATTAATTTTTGTCTTTATTCCAGTTTTTTATGGTGATGATTTTGATGAAGACATTTGAGAATATGTAAAGTTTCCTTCTTGTTTGTTGTTTCATGTTTTCGTAACGCACCTTGAACCGACTTGTTGCTGAAGCGTGCTTCACAAATAAAACTGTTTCCAGCCTTGTTTCTGCCCCACACCGTCCCAGACAAACTGGATCTGCTGGAGGCAGACAGCGTATCAAACGCTGCATGGGAACAATGTGTAGGAACATCGTCTGGTAAAAGTAAAAATTAAAAGCTTTTTGAAAATTTGAACTGTTCATTCCCAACCACATGTGACTTTGGGAGAAAATCCGTGCTGTCATCAGGTTTAATATGCATCATGATTAATCCCTTCTGGGAGAAACGAGAACAGACCAAGCAGGTTTTAGGGTTACTGGAAACTATCCGCTGTTAGGGAACATTATACAAACACAATACTTTGTTCAGTTGGTCAAATAATCAATCTGTAGCATTATGACTCATGTTGTTATCTGGATTAACTTGCATGCTTCTTAAATGTTATTTTTTTACTGGTTACTAGGGAAAAATACAAAATCTTACCAAGTTTGTTGGTCTACTGTCTAGTGCAAATATCTTAGTAAACTTGAAACAGATCAATCTTATTTAAAAGTAACTTTTTAGTCTGATATTGGAGGTTATTTTAAGTAAATAATTCCTTAATATTGATGAAGAAGTTCTTGCTCCATTGGCAAATAAATTAACTCATAACAAGACATTTTTTCTATGTTATAAATTAATTTATCTGCCAATTGAAGTAGTACTTTTTCATAAATATTAAGAAATGATTGACTTAAAACAAGCCTCTAGATTTTGCTGGAAAGTTACTTTTAAGTAAGTTTTATCTTATTTGCACTAGAAACTAGACCAAAAATCAGGCTTTGTGTTTTTGCAGTGTATAGATTACAGCTGAGATTATCGAGTCCCA